ACTTCCCAGGATTTTGGGAGCAAACAGCTCTGACGACACTTCCCCCCTTCACAACTTGTTCCTCGACATGGCATGGAGGAACGAGCCAAGTGGATAGTGGTGAAAAGCGCCACGTTCCCTTCAAACTAAGCCCTAAGCCCCTTCCCGCACAAACATGACAAGGAATGCATAAGCTACGTCTTCTGCCCAGCTCATAAGCACATAAAGGATTGGATCCAAACATAGACCCGACAATCTATGATCCTTATTACTGGGAACCAGCAGAAGGCTACCCCAAATCTTCAGAAACTTCCAACTATTTCCGAAAACTACCCTAAACCCTCAACCCTAAGTTTGGAGCTGCAAGCGGTAAGTCCTGACAAACTTCACACGATCCGAGCCATAGACCCTGGCAGGGCTGTTTGAGTCGTACGGGCCCATAATTAATCTAAACTCCTTAAAGGAGTTTAGATCAGGGATCATATAGGGGACTATTGTAGGGGCTATTAAGGGGGATACTAGGCGTTTAGACTATGGCTTGTACGAGGGGTTAGGGTTGGGGGCTTACATGTGCTTCCATGTTCAGTCATAACCGATACTTAGAAAGGAACATGGGGCGACTTTTTTTGGTGAGCTCCACAATAAAAAGGCGTGTGGGGTCTATATTTGGAATCGCCATATTGCCTGCAACCGCAAGACTATCAACAAAGTGCTTTATGAAAAAAGGTGACCCATGCTTCGTGCTTCTTATCCCGGAGCTGGACACCCAGTACACCAATATTCCTCAGCAACACCATATACGCTCACCAAGAATCAGAATGAAAAATTCTCCCTCCGGGTTCAGTTCCGGGGGTGGTTTTACATGGGAATTTACAGGGCTTCGTGCTTTTCAGGCCCGAAAAAATAGTTGTTGGGAGTGGTTTTTGGCAAATGATATCACCAAGAGACGTGAACATTGCTGCAACATTCCTTTCGTGTTGCACATGCGCAGCATTCCTTTGGCAAGGCTGCTTGTTTCCTATGAGCCTTTAGAACCCATGCAGGCTAGGGCGGTTGACTCCCCTGAGCTTCTTGGTATCAGTAGAGGACCGGGCCCAGGACCTCCGATGAAACCCGCTGTAGCCCATGAAGTTTGTCAGCAATCTCACTAACATCCGAACAAAACCAAAGCCGTAGTCGAGGAGCCGCTACCTTTCCCCCCAGACCCCCACCCACGAGCATAACCAAAAAAAGAAAAAAAGCGCCATGCATGCGTAACGAGCGAAGGCCATGAGCAATGTGTCCCTTGTGCCAGTCAGGCCACGCTTTTCGAGGCCTCAGCAGAAAACACGCGAAAAAACATGCGCAAAAAGTCACGTTTTTCTTTTGTCGCTCTACCCGTCCCAAAGACATCACACGCCAAGAAAACCAGAAACGCGCGACATCTTCAGAACGTGCCAAAATCCCCACGCAGGCCAAGGTTTTCAGCATGTACGTGAAGCGACAGGAAGAAGCGCGACATAGCACGGTGCTAGTTTTGCCCCCAAAACCACCCCCGTAACTGAACCCGGTAGGAAAAATCTTGAAGGTTGGCCTTGCCCCCTAAACCCTAAGCCCCACGCTAGGATTGGGTAGGCTTGTTTGCATTACAAATGCTAAGCCTTGAGCCCGAAATCGTGTAATGGTGATGGCTGTCAGTCTCTCTCGCTCTCCCTTTAAGCCAGAGGCAACAACTAAATGGTAATCCATAACCACTCATTGGAAGCACTTGGTAGGTCATGATTTCAAGCTCTAAACCCTATCCCCAAGGTAGGGTTAGGGTAGATTTAAAGCTTACCCTTCAGAGTTTTGAGCAGAGGGTTTTCAACATCATGGCCTCTTTGAGGCCCTGAATGAATATGTACGAGACCAGAATTTCCGGCACCGCTCATATAGGGCTCTTGGCTGATGGGTTGCGAAGACTACCGTCCCTTGTGACAGAAGCTTTCTTGCATTCTATCTCAATTCGGCTGAGGAATTCCTCAGGGGACCCCATATATCTGATTTCATTAGGAACCCAGAACGCCAAAAGGGGACAAAAGGGTCTTCTGCGGAAACCAGGGAGCGCAGACTATGCGCACATGAAACCTCTTATCACCTCACATGAACTCCTAGATAAACTGTTCTTTCCATGTGATTGTCGATTCTCTTTGCCATTTGATCCTCCTTTTTTCGGGGTCGGGGCTAACCCTAAAGAATTTGCCCACGCCGGTCTGAACTAATGTAGGGTCAGCAATAATCGGCGCAAAACCAAACGAAAAAGAGAATTGGAACGATTTTGATTGGGCTTAACCTAACCAATTGGAATGGGTCTTGCGGTATATGATCCTATATATCTCTATATATATATATCCCACGTAGGAGGTATGGGAACATACTTGTGTTCATTGTGGTATTCATTCCGGATTCTATAGCAGCAGCACTGAGTTCTGGTATATATGATACTGTAGTTACGTAAGGGCTAGAAGGAAATAATGCCGGTAGTCACTCAAGCTTAGGCATTACTTGGGGGATCAGGGGATTTTATACAGGTTCATAACCCCTAGAACCCATATAGTAACCCCAATAACCTCCTGACCCCCCGCCCCCCAGCATGAGGGGAGGTAAGGCGCTCCATGCAAGGACTTTAGGGTTTAGGGTTTAGGGCTTCTCAGCGTGACTAAATCATTCAGGTTCAGGACTTTCTTTCCGGGCCCACAGGACGGGGGTTTGGGGTTCAGGATTCAGGCATGAGCTACGGTGATCATTGGGAAAATGGTATGGACTATGCTGAATTACCAAAAGGCCCTGTATGTCCACCCTATATAGGCCCTTGCTAGCCTAGCATTGAAAGAAGAAATGCCGTTAGCATTCAAGACTTGGCGGCATCTCTGCAGTCCTAGGCAAAAACTCTAAACCCTAAACCCTAAACCCTGAACCTTGTACCCTAAACCCGTAAATACCCCTGAACCCTTTTTATATATACATGGACACAAGCCCGACGAGCCCAACCGAATGAAAAGACATTGGAAATCAAATGGCAACTGGGATTGTAGAGGGTTTGCTTTGGATTAGGGTAGGGTTTCTTGGACACTGCTGGATATGATTGTTCATTAGGACAAAGCCCCAATACGACATGTGAAGTTATCGCGCGGGGTGGCATCCCAAAAGGGATGCGGGCTTGGCACTTGGCGTTTAAGGTTTAATTGATTCCTTCAGTGAAGGTTTGTGCAGCACATGGGTCCCTGCATAGGGGGCTGTTCTACTGGCTGGTATGTTGAGTTGTATACCCTCGCTGGGACCTGATGCAACGCATAGTACACACACTAAGCCCTTCAAGCGACCTTATTCATCCATACATAATCCTCATATAACCCTACATAACCCCTATATAACCCTACATAACCGCTATATAACCCTATATAACCCCTGTATGACCCTATATAACCCTTATCTTCATCTATAGTACCCTGTTATAGGGTGGGGGGCAGATCCTGATGCCCTCTTCCCAGACCCAGATCTCCTGCGGATCTTGACTCGCGCACCTGAACCTCTGGCGGATGTCCATGATGTGATGCTTGATCTTCACCTGAAATTGGGGTTTAGGGTTTAGGGTTTAGGGTGCTTAGAACCCTAAGCCGATTCAGGTTTAAGCTTCGATTCATGGATTCTGTTTTAGCGTTTAGGTACGCTCTGGCCTGACCTTTGGGTTGTGATAAACAGGATTACAGTTTTTTTGCAGGAGGTGTACACATATGGGGAATTCAAAAAAAAAGGTGTGGGTCTCTTGCGGGGAGTGCGCTGTGACAAGGGGGCAGACTATAGTGGGTTTTACATTTAGGGCGCCCAAATTTGCGGAAATGCACCGTTCAAAGGCCTCAATCAGCGTTCGCCGGTAGGTTGTAACTTGAATGTTGGGGAGGTACTGTCAAACATTATCCTTGTTCATCTATTTTTGGGTTTAGGGATCCAACAAATCTGACAATGGAATAGACAACAACCCTAAACCCTGAACCCTGGTAATCTGTCGCTACTGTAGCTCTGACACTGGCCTTGTTCTCATGGTCACAGATGGGGGCGGGGATCCATAAACAGGGGCCCCTTTCTACCATGATCCCTTGTTGTAGGAACTTCCAGAAGCGGACCCTTACTTTTTAACCCTAAACCCTAAACCCTAAATCCTAAATTGTAAACCCCCAGATAACAACCTCAAGACGGAATAGCTCAACCAGCTCCCAGGCTACAGTAGCACCGCTCTACCTACAGGCCCAGTTGCTGAGCTTCCCCACGAAGCGCTAACCGTTTACTTACCGTTTACTTCTAATAGGGATATATGATATTATATAAACAAATAAATAAATATGTGTATATATATATATATAACCACCCTAAACCCTAAACCCTAAGCCCTACTGCAGGCCCAGCCCATGCGTACTGGATTTGCAGGGCGCTGCTTTCCGGCCACACTCGGGAAGAAATTGTGGAGCCCAAGCCTTAGCCCTTGTGCAAGGACGTTAGCATTCAGAGGATCATTTGGGCGGCTCTATGTTAGTTTGGTGGAGGATGGGCTTAGGACTTCGCAGTTTCCATTTTCTTTTCCATGGAAACCCTATACAACCCCAATATACTGTATAATCCTTATACTATAATCTACTGTAAGATCCTATAGAGTCCCCAATAAACTACATAGTAGCTTAAGATTTACAGCACTGCCCCCAGAGCTCCCGGACGCAGCGGCGGCTTGCGTCAATTGGCCAAGATGACATCAAGGTCTCTCACGATGGCAGCGGCAAGGTGTGCCTGGTAGCACACAGAATGCCCGCCAGACGCGTGGCATTGGCTATACAATTTTTACAATTTGCCCAAGCCTGCTGCCTCGTAAACCCTCCACATGTCTGGAAGGGCTCAGCTTTACAAGTCCCACAGCCTTGCACTCGATACGATCGGTGTCAAGTCATATGGCGCAAGCACGAGGCTTTGCCTTGCGTGCTCAACAGCGCCATCAGTCAAAATTTAATTCCTGCCTAGGCCAGAACTGCGCTGGCTACTGATAGGAGGCCAGCCACGGCAATAGTGGCCTCGCGACAACCATTGGACTCCGTCTCCGTATCCGAGCATACATGACATGAGTGCGACCAGGTCGCATCCGGGAAGTTGAGCGCACAAGCCTGCTCGCTGGCAATGTCGCAGTGGCAGCCCGATTCTGCACCATTTCCTGGCACGAAACAGCCCCAAGAAGACGTATGGCAGCAAGACCAGCATTCATGGGTCCAGGTCTTTCCCGAGGTTTGGCCACAAACGCTCTCTGAGACCTGGCACTCGCATTGGTGAGAGGCTTCCGCAAAGCAACCCCAAGAATTTGCCTTCTGACAGGTAGGATGCTGCGTGTTTGTGGTGGAGTCACAGGTCCTGCAGCCATCTGTCCATGTGTGACCACTGGCATGGCAAGCTGCTTCCGAGGTCGTACAATCGCACTGGTGCGTCTCCACATTGTAACAACCAGTACCAGTACCAGTAGCCGCATTCACCTGCACGATCTGCAGGAGTAGCAGTTGAAGCATCCAGGAATATGCCATGGCTATGGGTCGGGCAGTGACTGAGCACTAGGCTTGGGTGAGCACAAATGCCTGAAAGGCAAAAGCACCTGCATGAAGCATGCAGAAGACCAAACGTTTCATGATTGGTTGGCGCCGAAGACGAAGGGTATCACTACTGCTGAGGCTACCACTTGAAAAAACATGCCACATTGCCTACATCAATGCAACCTCGCAAATCCTCCACACTAGCGGTTCTGTGTTCTAGAAAGTGCCCCCATGCGCTGCACATGGATGCATTAACTCACTTACCGGAACCGAGACCCATGCTTCCTGAGAGCCCTCCGCAAGTTGGCAAAAGATGTGGGATACAGAGGAACGAACCACAAGTTGCTTCTAGCCAGATGCAGAGGGGCATTCCTCACTCTGCACGTGTTACCCCAGACCCCATCATTGCTCCATTCTCCAGTGCTCCAAGCCAAGGGTGCGACCTCCTCCCTGGTCGTGATCCTGGGATGGTTTTGGTTTTTCTTGCTGGTTGTTAGTATAAAAGGACGGAATGGACAATAAACCCTAAACCCTTAAGACTACTGTAGGGATCCGTTCCTCCATTCCCTACAGGTCACCAGTAAGTGTTGAGGTCCGGTCCTAGGCCGTAGCATGGACGGTTTGAGTTTTCTGGTCCAGGGCTCAGGTTGACGGTGTTTTTGCCTTAGGGTTCAGGGCTTAGGTTTCGGGACTCATGGGTTTGAAGCCTATCATGAGCTATGTGAAATCGGTGAAGGGCCCTGCAGCTGCTGTAGGCGTTAGGGTTTAGGGTTCAGGGTTTAGGGCCAGCGCAAAAAACAGAAATAGCTGAAAGCAACCTTGGGCTTCTTTGCATTCCTGGCCACATGAGCCCTGGACTGACGCCTTGGTATCTTCTTTAGTAAACCCCCCCTAACTCTAAACCCTAAACCCCATGGTTGGGGGGGATGGTTGCAGAAAGATCCTGAAATCGACCAATGGGGCCAGTGATGCCCCCTCCTTTTCCTGTTCAAGATAGAGTCCCCCTTAAGGGTTTAGGGTTTAGGGCTCTGCATGTATTATAATAAGATCCCCATATACCCCATAGTGTATCTACTTACGTAACGGGGACTATAGAGTAATAGAGATTGCAAGGACTTCGGCCCTTACGTGTTGGATGGCTTCCCTAGGTGAAAACCCGCACAGACACGCGGGCGGGGGGCAAGGGGGGTATCCTGCCTGCGCTGCCCTGCAGGTCCCCACGTCTCAGCCCACTCCCACCCCTTCGCCTTTTCAGAAACGAACAAAAAAGTTGCTGCAGCTGGCCCCAGGCCCTGGTGATGCGGGCGCCGGTCTCTGGGTCTGGGAAGGCCCTGGGGCCCGGCTTGAACAGTTGGCACTTGTCGCGGCTTGTTGTGGTGTGGATTTCCTGCCCGGCCACCGAACAGCAGAGCTGTGGAGCTCCGGCAGCCTAGCTTAATAAACTAACCTTGGTGTCACGGGTCCAGGCTAGGCTCATGAAGGCCTGGACCAATGGAAAGCGTGTTGGTCCTGACACGGTCCCGGC